AGCTTGCACCACCAGATGTTCGAGGGAAAATTATGAGCTTTTGGCAGATGTTCTTCAGCGTTGGTAGTTTCCTGGCATACTGGGTCAACTATGCCTGCACCAAGAACGTTCCAAAGCTAGGAAATTGGGATTGGAGGATGGTGGTTATCTTCCAAGTTGTTTTCCCAGCAATTATCTGTATCTTGATCTTCTTTTGCCCGGAAACGCCACGATGGTATATCCAGAAAGGCAACGAGGAAGGCGCAAGAGAGGCTTTGAGGAAGGTCAGAGAAACAGAAGAAGAGGTTGAAGCCGAAATCCAACAAATCAAACAAGCTATCGAGTACGAAAAGCATGTTCTCGATGGAAGGTACTTGCCGTTGTGGAAGGACCCATCCATCCGAAAGCGTCTCAGTAGGTTCCCCAAGAGTCATCATATGTTAGTTCAGATTGTATTAGTTACTAATGATATCCTTCAGTCCTTGCTTTTATTATGAACTTCGGTCAGCAAGTCACTGGACAGGGATCTCTTAACAGCTACTCCACTATCGTGTATAAGCAAGTGTTCAAGGATAACTCAACAATTCAGCTTATCAACGCCCTCAACGGAACCTTTGGTATCCTCTTCACTCTCAATGCAACATGGACGGTCGACAGATATGGCCGGAAGTTTCTTCTACTTGTCGGTGCCATTGGTATGGCTGTCTGTATGGTTTGTTCAGCGAGTGTCTACATTGGTACACCCACCGAAGACGGTGGCGCCAAATCTACCGGCGTTGCTAGTAGCATCGTTTTCCTCATGTTCCTATTCGCGTTCTTTTACAAGCCTTCTTGGGGTGCTGCTGTCTGGTAAGTTTAAATCTCCTTTTGAGCTTATTTCCGCCATCTTCATTTTCAGATTCTATCACGATCTTCAGAAACTAATTGCTTGCCAATCTAGGATTTGGACTTCCGAGGTTTTCTCCATGAATGTCCGCGCCCAAGCCGTCGCCATGTCTGCTCAAATGCAGAATGTCAGCAATGCCATCGTCAATCAGATCTTCCCACTCATTCTCGCCAAGATTGGCTTCAAAGCCATGTATATGTTCGCCGGGATCAACGTCCTCCTTGCAGCATTTATCTGGTTCTTTGTCCCAGAAACCAAGGGAATGGCACTGGAAGACATGGATACTCTTTTCGGTGGTGTCAGTCACGCTGAGAAAGGAGCAGCGTTCGTCGACCATGAGAATACGACCAGCGTCGCCAAAGACGGTGCGGACCTAACCGTCCACGAGGTGGAACATGCCGGCAATAAGAAGGAGACTGTGTGAGCCGATATAACTCTGAATTTCTCACAATCCGGATAATTTATTCCATTTACCGCATTCTATCTATAATTAATATTGTCAACTCAAAGGCTATCCACTCCTTCAGAAATTAGCTCCGCGTCATAATTACGAGAGAATCTCACGAATGCCGTCTGAAACTCCTTTAAGGGTTCCATGGACGCATGCGCACTCCGTTCAAGACACTTACCAACTAGCTAGTGGCTTACATCATATCAATTAATACAAAGTCTAGTACTTCTATTTAAATATAAACTATGTCCCACACTACTAAAAAAATCTCCGATAACAACACTGTTTTGACTTCCAGAATCCTAGGATTACTGTAGTCTATAGCGATAAAGATGGATCGCTACTACTTTTCTCTTACAAAAGCAGAGCACTTATTAATTAGACGGGCTGCCTCTGGGAATAGCAGAACCTTTTCATGAAATAGGAATATAAGTCTATTCAATTGAAGGTAAAAGTCCGTTTTGTGAATGATCTCATCCTAGGTATCTTAATCATGAGGTGTCACTGATCTGAGGGCTAGGGTGTGCTGTTCAGGATGGCATCCCTGTCCAAGTTTCGTACGCCCCCACATTGGCCTTCTCTTGGCTTGACCCAGCTTGGCTTGTGCGACATTTTGCGGTCCGGTGTCGTATCTGGTCGCGTACCATCTTTGTTCTGACAGCCTCATATGCACGTACTCGTGCATATCACATTCCATTGCCATCCGAAATACAGCTCGTTTCTCAACAGGTACATCTGTTCCCGCGTTCCCGTCTCTGCATAGCTCTTTCCCTTTCGAAGTTCACTCCGTTCTCCTCATTTTCGCCCACAAGGGTTATAAATCAGCCTGCGTAGTCGTTATCAGGCTTTTTGTGATCACGTCTCACAAGTCTGCAGCTTGCATAAACGTCTATGTGGGCCGGACCACCTTCGAAAATCGCGAGCCTATGCACGAGAAGGAAATTTTTAAAACAAGCCCCAAAAGGTTCCTCGAAATGTCCCTTATCTGGAACCTATGGCGGCAAGTAAACTTTCTAGGCCTTTGCAATTGAATGCAGGCTCCATCGTAGCACACCATTCTCATCCCATTGCAGATGAACCTGATTCGCACGCCCTGTCACTCACATTTACGGTAGTAACTTTGAGGCGGTCGAGGCTTCTGACTCCACTTTGGATGAAGTTGTTGTCTGTGTGGTACATGCCAAATCGATGCCCAGAAGTATAATCGTATCGGACGAAGCAGGATTAAGAATCGGGCTTATCGCCGCTCATACTAGCGTGGAGCTGAGGCAGGTACATATCGCCTGGCCAGCCGAGAAAAATATATAAAGCTAGCCCTGCGATAACACCAAAACAGCCCTGTCTTCTCGTATTCTGCTTTCCCAAATCTTTCTTATTATTCCTACTCCGGTCCGAATTATCGAGGTATTGGTTCAAGAGACTTGAGGTAGCTAGGATTCCGAAACGAACCCAAAGACATTCCAGCATCCAGCTTTCGCGGAGGCGGGAACAGGCATTAGGCTCATTTACCGTTCCCCACTATCAGTCTTCCCGACCGCTGCAGCAACTGGCTGGCTCTCCGTTCCGGACGAGACGAAAAGGAAAGAGGGCCCCAAATCCTTGGAATCTTTTCATAATCGAATCCCCAGCTTCTGGCCTCCCCACGAAATACCATCGTGACCCTTGAAAATCGAGTTAATCCGCGCTTTTTTCTCATACCATCTAAAGCAAGCCTCTTTCTGTTTTCTGTATTTATCCCATGCACCTGCTCTTCAAAAGGGCCAAGAAAAGAGACACTTTTTTTTTGCCATCCGATAAACGTATGGACGTGCGTGCTTCGACTGATAGGCGAGTAGACCTTGAAGCTGAAAGCACAAGAAGTGGGGATCTTTGGCAATTTTTGACAGTACTGTCATAATTTATCTCAAAAGAACGGAAGACCAGAGGAAATGCCATAATCCACCCTTTCGGGGTATTTTAAGGACGCGCACCAAAAGACACAAGATAAGCCCAATATATAAAAAGGAAGCAAGAGGCTGTAACGGATCCCAATATCTGGATCCGTTTTCTCCCTCCAGTTTCCCTCCCATTTCGAATATTTCTGCACCATAATATTTTTTTTTAAAACATCCCATATCGCAAGCTCGGATCTAGCCTTATCCAATCGCCAGTCGGAAACCATCTTTTTCCCACGATATCATAGTTTTGTTTCTCGCCTTTCGTATCTCTATCTAGTTTCCGAACTAGACCACGCCTGGTTTAAGTCCACCGTTGCGGAAACCCCCCACAAAACACGAGCCCCAAAACCCTGTTTTGATCTCAGCTCATCTACTATATCACCTGCATATCGATATCATTGGTATCGATATTCTCCAAACAAAGCAATAGAGCATCGATCCCCATTCGGCGATATTGACATCAGCGCAAAATCACCCCACGGGATCCCCCACCTTTGAAGAATTATAAATTCGGAGGCCTTTTCCCCGCAATTCCAGCATGTCGAGAAACAAAGTCGGTCTGCTGGTTGCTGCAGGCGTGGGCATTGCTGGAGGTATGACAGTTTTAATTTGTCCCTTTTCCGTCTCATTTCCGTCCCAAAGTCCAACTCGCCTGGCAAACATTGCATGAGTCGCAGGCGGCCGGATGTTCCTGACACACCTGGATCGCAAAACCGATGCTGACTTTTTGGATTCAAACATTTTATAGGAAAATATCTTTTCGAGCCTCTCATCATTGAACAAAAGCAAAAGGCTGAGCAAGAAGCACAAGCGCCATTGCCTGCTACAACGATAACCATGTCGTCACCGCCAAAGGTCGAAGAGGCCCCACCCCAGAAACAACCTACGCCGCCATCCGCCGCTCCTCTAGAACAACCTCAGACTTTCTTCGGAGTTTCGCAGTCTTCGTCACAGACGCCATCTTCAATTGCCAATACGCGAACACTCGCATGCCTTCCTTCCACAGAAATTTCTAAGAGCGCGCACCCTAACGATGCTGCCAAGATAATGGACCATCCCTTGCCATCTAGCCCATTGATTGCGAAGAAGATCCCAAGCAAGGAGGATTCAGGAGAGATGCAGGCAGAGCCATATACACAGAGCCCTGGTGGCGTTGGACTTTTTGGTAAGGTCAGATTCTGGTAAACCAAGCGAAAGTATATACAAAGCGGAAGTAAAGGTCTTGAGGTTGTTCCCGGCGTTTTTGTTTAGTTCTTCGCGAGTATGGAGGGGAATTGATAAGGCGCTGCAGCGTTGGTTGGAGCAAAGGCATGGGGGGCTTTTTTACCTACTACCGATATTAGGATATTCGAATTCCTGGGACGTTATCGCTTTTAATATTAGTTGACACTGGGCCATTGACACCGGACCATTGACGCGTTGCGAGTACTTGTTTTTGACGGATCGATTTGTTCATGAAGCCTGTAAACCAGGCCGATACATATATGCGGGGCCTAGGTATTGATCGTATTGCTATATATTAGGGAGTGGTTGGGCAAGGAAACTACCAGATTAGTGCTACTTATCTCTATCATCAGATTATATTCCCAGTCGCGACCCCCACGAACACCGAATCAGTCAGACTTATTCGCTCTACTGAATCTGATATCCTTAACTGTGAACTTGAAGCAACCGCACTTAGCAGCTGAGCATATTAAACCTTTATATAGTCTGTCTGCAAATCATCTTCCATCAAATCAAGATACAAGCGTTTGTGGTTTAGTGGTAAAATTGATCGTTGCCATCACTGGTTCTTCAGGAACCAGCAGCTGCTTCGATCAGCCCCGGGTTCGATTCCCGGCGGACGCATAACATCAATATCTTTTTTTTTTTTTTTCTTCCCTCGCTGTGAAACACCGATGCTGAAGCTTTTTTGAGGATGGTGATGCCAAAGGAAGGTCATGGGTGGAAAATTTTTCTTTTTGGCTATTTTGCGTTGGGGTTAGCGTGGTGGCAAGGGTACCGTTGGAAAGTCGCGGGCTTTATCATACCAGTAGTATATAGTATACGGGCATCGACCCTCGGCAGAATTCAAATTAAACATCAAACGCATGGTTCGACAATGCAAGGTTAAGTTTCAAGATTTCGTGACAGAAGAATCTGGAGTCACATTGTTGGATTTCACGATTTGTGCGTTGTCAGGACCAATACTTTTGTGTCACCGTCTAGACCGATACTACTAGCTACTCCAGTGTAACAGTCTATAGACGTATCGGAGCCAGCCAGCTACAAGATTCGATACTACATTTGAACGAAATTCGAAGTGTACTAGCTTTGGTGCCATGCCCATACGATATTAATAAGTACATACAAGGAAGTATACTAGCTATAATATAAGATGTTGCTCGCAAAAGCTTCGCCTGTGCACATGCACAATTACACTCTAATACAACCGCCAGTCTATGAACGATCACCTGTATCTTACAATCCTTCTTCTCAACCAATCAAGCATCAGTTACGACACTTTCTTTGAGTTCATCCAATCGCCTTCTCAGCTCGGGTACAGCCCGTAACTGGAGCTCAAGATCTTCCTTCTCATCTTCAAGCTTCAACCTTCTCTCCGCATCCAACTTTGTAAACACAAATCCGCCTTGACCATCGAATTGCAAGATATTCTCGTGGTACTTCCACAGACTCCTTCTGTGGCTGACGGTGATCAGGGTGATGTCTAGTTGTTTGGCGGTTTCGTACATGATTCTTTCGATGTCCAGGGTCTGTGCTGCTGTGCACTCGTCCAAGATAGCACTGTTTGTGATCATGTATATTAGCAACATTCCCATTGCCGCTACACCAGACTAGAATTATGTACTCACAATTTGGGTGCATGGTAGAACAATCTAGCCATGGCAATCCTCTGCTGCAACCCACCGCTCAGATGTTCTCTCCACTCCTTCTCGACATCCCATCCACCTTCTCTCTCAACAACCGATTCGATTTCCACAATTCTCAGGAGGGCCATCAAGTCGTCGTCTGTGACTCCCTTTTCAATCATATCCTTTAGACCATCAGGGTAGATGACTTGCTGCCTGAGCGACCCACGGCTCAAATATGGCCGCTGTGGGATGTAAAAGATCTCTTCGCTAGGAGGCTTTCGCACCTCACCGCCATATACCGGCCACAATCCACCAAGGATTCTGAAAAGACTGCTCTTACCGCATCCGTTTGGTCCAACAATCAGCAGATGCCCTCCTCTCTTGACCTCAAACGAAAGCTTCCTGACCAAAACATCGCCATTAGGGCTAACGATTGGGACATCTGTGAACTTGATGTAGGTATCTTCAACGACCTTGCCTCTTCCACGAAGAACAGCGGCGTTCTCTTCAGTGGAAGCGGAGGACACAAGGTTCTTCTCGAAGTGACCATCCGTGATGTCTTCCATAACATTCAAGAGCGTGGAAACACGGGAGGTATAGCCTGCTAGCTCAGTAATTTCCTTGTAAGAGAACATAACACGGCCGAAAGCATCAGAAGAGGAAAGCAGGAGACGGCGGTTGGTTACGAAACCTAAAATTATATATATTAGCCCCAGCAATCCCTTGGAATCCCTTGGAATCAAAGCATGACGGAATACTCACTCTCTGTCCGGTCGCCCAAACTTCCACCCTTCGCACCAGGAACCTTGAAGAATACCGGTACACTGCAGAGCACCAAACCAAGTGCTCCCCAGAAGTACTTGATAACATAGTCCTCCATAATTCCGTGGTACAATCTCTGCCTAAGGATATGGTTCACATACTTAATCAACCTGAAATATCCCTTGTCGAGTGTCTTCTTCTCATTCTCATGGCCAAAGTACAACGCTACTTCTTCAGCATTATCAATGAGCCTAGAATGCTGGTGTCTAAATTCTCCTTCCAATTTTGCTTCGTCGGCAACGTATTTGCCGAACGGAGGCGTCAGTGCCCGCATAACGTTCGCCGAAATCTGCACTAGCAACGCCATGAGGAATAGACCTTCACCACCAACGTTTCGCGAGAGTTGGTAGTTATAGATCACCATGTCCAACACGGGCTTGGCGAGGTTGGAGTAGAGTTCTGCGAGCGAGTTGGAGAATTTGCGAACATCCTCCACAATCAACTGATCCGGGTTTTTGATTCTGTCGTCAAGGTTGCCGACTGAATAGAAGATCATATTAGAAAGATATTTGTTGTGGATGTGGTTGGTGAGACGGGTTCGGTATTGAAGGGCAAGTTTGCATTGGTGGTACGACAACTGTAATACGTCATTAGTCTTTGATATAGATTTCTCGAAGAGAAAAGTCCCCTACCATGGAGTTTGTGAAGGTCGCCGGGATGGCAACTACCATCCACCATATTATTCCCAGTACAAAGTCCTTCCCTCGTCCCCGAACAAGATTCGACACCAGCCGGCCATCCAGTTCAGCAACATACAAACTAATCAAGGTTCTCAACACCAAAAACACCGAATGGCTAACCAACAGCCTCGCTTCCTTGCTCCTCCATCCAGGGATAACAATCTTTAGTAACCTAAAGAGACTTCGGAAGAATTCCCTATTCAGTTCGACCTTTTGTCGCTTAGAACTGTCCGATGTCGAGCGTGTGGGCTTTACGGCGGGTTTTTGGTCGGAAATGGCGGCGCGGACTCGGAATACGAGGGCGAGGAAGGTGAAGAGGTATAGACCACGGGAGATCTTGGTTTTATGCGTCAAATAGAATGATAACGACGAACTGAGAACGTTGAACAGAGCCGCTTGGCTGCCGGCAGGCAGCAGTTTAGATTGCACTCCCATCGCTATGATATCTAGTGTTCGGGGATGATCCGGGTTATACGGTTTGGGTGTACTTTAAACGAATGCGACGCCAGTGACGGGTATCATGGTGAAGGAAAGAAAGACAGCAATGAACGCGATAGATGGTATAGTTGGCCTCGCTTGTTAGTGTCGAAGGACGGAGTTTTATGAAGGTGAGGTTTGGCTTTCACATGTTTGGTTGGCGTCATGTGCGCTTCGGCATTTCTCCACAGCCAAAAAGGGCAGCTTCGGCGTCCCCACAGCGCAAAGAAGGCAGCCCCAACCAACGGTATTCTCATAACACCTGATTATAAGCAGCAATTTCGTTGGGAATCATATTCACGTTTACGATGGTTTGGAGCCTATAAGAACATTTCTATTTAGCCGCAGTCATACTAAATAATTCAATTGTGAGTGTAGGTGTAGAATATATGGGATTACCCTTTTGGGTAGTTGTCAAAATGCAACATTCTCAACGCAAGATGACGTGTTGAAGCCAATTTCCCTGCAACTGATATCAAGAGCTCCGAATGAATAGCTACTTCGTGTGCATGGTAGAATGCATCAGCTGAATCCATTCATTGGACAAAAATAACTTCTCGCCACCAAAGCCACATTCTCACTCTAAGATATCACGATGCATTCTTGCTTTCCTGACCGGTTCCACCATATCCAAACTGCGACTAGTGTGGCTTCGCTTCGGTGTCTCATGCTTGAATTCCTACCATATTCAGTAAGGTCATTTCCTGAAGGCGCCTGGTTTACTGTAAAACGCTCCAAGATCTCTTGATTTTGCGAAATCTATGCGGCTATAACTTCTAACACCATCGTGTATTTTGTCTTGCAGACGCAATAGAGCGAAACCCTGGAGATATTCCTGGACACCACGAGGAGCAATATTAGGCAATCTGATAGAAGTTATCGCTATTATATTAAAGTATTTAAGTCGCACAATATTCCTCGTAGTTCCTAGTCTCCACTCTTCCTCTAAGTTTAATCTTCTTTCTGGCCGGTCCGGTTATATTTCGTTTCAAATTCTTTCTTATAATTTCATTGGTATTTTCATTCGAGGCAGGCCTCATATACCGCATCTTTAATATCTTCCATTTAATTCGCTTTGAAATTTTTATATCGGACTTAGCACCACTGCAAAACTGCTCATCTGTAACGTCTATAATATAATTCTTCAAAATGCATTTCACTACACCCTTTATTACTTTCTTAACTCTCCTATCAACCGCCACCTTCGCATCTCCCCTCTCCCGTCGCACAACTGCTACCTCAGGCGCGGACCTCAAATCCAAAATCCTCCACGAGGCTCAACAAATGAAACAACCCACCACTCAAATCCAATTCCTCACATCTCTACCCAATTCGATCTATGACCAACTCCTCCAACTCGAATCCCGCGCCGGTGGCGGTAACGGCCAACCATTTTATCCTGAAATCGCAAAACTCGTACAACAAGTGTACGGCCAACTGATGGCCGGCCAGACACCTACATTCCCCTCAGAACTCCCAAGTCAAATAGCAATCGTTATTCCCCCATCGAGCGCGACCACCGGTGCGGCTGTAACACCTACTACCACACCAACGGAAACACCAGATGCCCTTCCTACAATAATAGAAAACGAAACTACAGTCCTCACCAAAAGGAAGGCAAAACTTACAGGCGCCCAACTGAGAGCTACATTCATGGGACAAGTAGCAAGGAATAATTACGCACCTTCGCAAGTCCAGTTTTATAATAGCATCCCGCAGAGTGTGTGGGATAAACTTGCGGATTTGAGTTGTAGGATTGTGAAACCGAATGGACAGTATGATTCTGCGGTGGCGGCGCAGCAGCAGAGGGCTTGGGGTCAAATTTTTAGAAACCAGATTCCTACGTTTTATTAAGATGTGGGATCTTTTTTTCTTTGTTTTAGGTATTTCTAGGGTTGCGTAGATTGCGGCGGGCGGACATTTTGGCGCGGAGTTTGTACCTGTATGTAGGAAACTAGGATGGGATATTTAATATTTGTTAGTTTGGCTACCCCAGGAATAGTTACCACTATATACT